CTACCAGATACAACGTACTTAAGAACAAGTTATCCGCATCCATGACGGCGTTCGAAGCGATAGAGCTTGCGATTTGGACGTTATTTACATTCATAATTTGGAGAAAAGATGATCAGTTGAGAAGTATTTACCTTTTATATCAATTTCCAGAAATAAATAACCATTCATTATTATTTTAAAACTAATAAGTTAGTTGCACGAAACGGGGTGACAAAATTTTTATTTAAAAATAGTACAAAAATCACCGTGCGATAAATAAAATCTCAGTAACAACAACAACCAAAACACTCCAGATACTGTCAGATATTTTTTGTCAACGGATGAACAGATACTATAGTGTTAAATAATAGATTAAAATTTACTTCCAATCTTTCTCAACAGTTCTACTTTCAACAACCCATCATATAAATTCGCTCGCTATCATAACATCCTCAGTCAAATGGAAAACCAAAGCGGTTTGATGACACTTAAAATTAATGAGAGGAGGAACGCCCCTCGATGTTCCACAATTTGTCATTAGTGAACAGAACTACACCAAGTGATTCACCATCAAATCAGAAATCGCCAGCTAAAATATTCATGGGCTTCAGATTGAGAACAACTCACCCACCTGGTATTACAAAAAAAGATTATTTGCAAAAAAGAAATGGTACAAGTGAAAACCATGGGATTTGAGATCGGAGCTCGTGTATTCATCCGATATTAAAGACCGAGGTACAATACATGGATAAAGAGGTGTGTAACTCGAAGGTTAGGTCAGGTAATTTATAGTGTAACGGTTGGAAAGACAAATGGATACAACGCTTCATTTAACTACGAAGACGTGTGTCACAGGAGAAAACAACAACAACATGCAAATTAAATCTGGAAACACTAGTAGATACTTCCAGTCTACCGCAACCCCCGTTTGACACATTAGAAGAAAAAACAGAAACGGCACCTCCAGAAAAAGTAGACCTACGATCCAGATGGTCGACCAGACAACGGTGGAACATAATTCAGTTTCAAGTGAACCCAAGAGAATCATGCTATTAAAATGAGAGATGATGGGGATGTCCGGTTGCAAATTACGAATAATGAGATGCGGGTCAATATATATTAGATTGGAATTCTGTTGCAGCAGATTAATCAGCGTGAACACTATTGATAAAACTTAAATAAGTTTTTACACCGATCTATATGAATGACAACCACACACTTTAAATATTATAATTATTTTTTACTCACAAGTAATCAATAAACTTCACAAAGTTTGTACCGCTTTTGCCAAACTACGTCACCGATGGCGAAGGCAGGAGATCCAGCTACCAATTAAGGGAAGAGTATACTGCACAGCAGTTTGTTCTGTTCTAACTTACGGCTGAGAAACTTAGACATTAAGAGCAGAAGATACTCGTAAGCTACTAGTATTTGATCATAGATGTCTTAGAAATATTGCTTCCAATTGCTGGAATCACTAGGTAAGTAATACTGAGGTTAGACGCAGAGTATTGGGGAACGATGGTGAATTAGTTGATGAGGTTATGAATCTTTGTTGGCTGAGCCACGTGTTACATATGCCTGAACACCGATTACCACGACGCGCAATGCTGGCTAGTGTTAGGAATGGTTGGAAGAAAGTTAGGGGCGGCAAAACCAAAACGTGTCACCAATCCTTGAAGTCACTAAATTCTAGTCTGAGCCATGTTGGTAGATGCAGACTACTTGGTTTGGGTCCGCGTGATTATCACAACTAATGGTTGGAGAATCTGGGTGACATGGCACAGAGTGGATTACAATCGCATAGGTGTATACACTCTTTGTCTTCTCATAAACCGTGAGATTAAAATTGTTCATACATTTTTCCATGAACTAATTCTTTATTCTTGTACTATATACTAATACACAATCTTTCTTATATATAATACTACCATTGAAGTAACTACTTCTATGAATTTGGTGTTCATCTTGTTGTGCTGATGAGGTATGGCAACATGGACCGATGAATATATGTGCCTAGTCATACGTTGTAGCTGATTGACTGACTAAATCAATAAACTTAATGTAATTTACTTGGTTTTCGAGTGATCAGCTTTAAAAAGTTTCAACCGCAAAACTGGTGTTTTTATTCTAGGTAGGGAAAATAAGAAGATAGAATTCGTTTCATTCGCATCATTGAAGTCAGAAAGATGAATTATTAGCAAAGTGCGTGAACGCCTCAGCAAAACGTGGTACAGATAGTGTCAAGCAATATTGATATAGAATAGATAATTACCATTAAAAACGACCATCTGATGAAGAGGATGTTAAGATCTACTACATAAATCAGTCAGTCAAAGATAAAATAGAATCTGATATACGTGTGTTTTGGTTCAAGCTGCTAAACAACATCTGCATAGCGAGATGAATTTATTAAAATATTTCCAGATTAGTAGAAGTATTAACAATACCAGTAGTAGTAGGGATAGAAAAGATGGGGTATGGAAGACAAAATTTGAAAACGCAAAATGAACTTGTGAAATAAAAAAGCATAAGTTTTAACACTTAAAATCCAAGAGAGGACAAAGAGTGGACGCATATGACACACTTCGATTGATTCCGAGCCACGTCACTTAAATTCTCCAACAATTGATTGTAGTTATCGCATGAACCTCAACCAAATAGTCTGTACCCAACTACAAAGCTAGTTCAACAGTCAATTTCGTGGACTGATGCTACGTCTTGGTTTGGTTGCTTCCAGTTTTTCTCTAACCTCCTATTCCACATCAGCCAACCCAGTTCGTAAAGGAAGTGGTGGTTAGCGTACATAACACATATCTCAACTACCCCAGTCAAAGAAGATTTGTAGCAAGCCCATTCCATTAATGTATTATTTGTCTACACAACTGTGTTAATTTCCATATGAGTATGATTGAGCGTGTGTCTGCACTTCAATCCCTATTCTATTCCCCTTGGTTGAGGGACATAGATAATCAATAATTTATCTACACTGCATTAATACTCGAAAATATATATGGATTTTTAACACAAACACACACTGATTTTTGTCTCAGTCAGTCAGTCAGTAACAACGTGGAACTTCGCATGTACGTACATCAGTTCGAGTTGCCATACCACATTAGCACAGAGATTCAGTTATCGATTCAAATCCCATAGTGGTAGAGGTACTGAAAGTATAAGTAGAGATAGGGGACATGAAGGTTTGATGATGTTATTAAAGGAGTATAGTCAGTGGAATAAATTGGGAAAGAAAATAAAGGACATGAAGAATTCAGAAGATTAGAGTTTGAGAGAACACAAAGAGTGGATGCACCTGCGCCATTGCAAACGATTTTGAGCCATGTCATTCAAGGTCTCTAACCATCGGTTGCTATCATCTCGCGATCCCCAACCAGGTAGTCTACACCTACCAACATGACTCAGTCCACTTGTCAGTGACTTCATAGATTTGTGCCATGTTTTGGTCTGACCGCCCCTAGCTTTCTTCCAACCTACTCCTACACCATAAAACATAGCACGTCGGGGCACTCGGTGGTCGGGCATGCGCAACACATGTCCCAGCCATCTCAATTGATTTGCCATCCTTACCTAGTACCCGTTTTATAACAACTGCATTACTTACTCGGTGGTCCCAGGATATACGAGCGATGTTTCGAAGACACCTATGATCAAATACTAGTAACCTACGAATATCCTCTACTCTTACTGGCCATGTTTCACTGCCATAAAGTAGGACGGAACGAACTGCTGCGCAGTAAACACGTCCTTTGGTTGATAGACGGATATCTCGCCTACGCCACAAATGACGAAAGTTGGCCAAAGCTAGTTAAGCCTTTTGTATCCGTGCTGAGATTTCGTCACAAAACAAACCACAAGGGCTGATGAGACTTCCGAGATAAGTGAAGCGGTGATTTTTGTCTCACTCGGTAATTGCCTGCTGTATGCTTGCGGATTTTACCAAGCTTTAACAATAAACTATCTCTATAACTGATGTTTAGGCTTTTCAATTATCTCGAGTAAATCGATAATTCTACTAGGAGATTAAGCTTGCATTAAATACTCGGTTAATGAGATATCTTTTATTGGAGTCGAATATAGAGGAAATTTATCACAACAAACTTGGTTAACCTCTACATATTCACTATTTCATTAACCGATTTGTTATCTTTACATAATACCCTGCGTCTAAACCTCAGTATTTCTCACTCGATAATTTCAACATATGCAAGTAGTACTTCGAAGTTATCTATGGTCAAATAATGGTAACCTGAGAATATTCCGTACATTTAAGCACTATGTTTAAAAACCTTAAATTCGAGCGAAATGAGCTTGGTTTTTTTAGTGTACTCGACTCTATACTATCAGGTGGACATCTTATCTACGCCCCAAGATTTATTACACCCTTAAATCAATTAATTATTAGAAATTGATTGAAACTGACTGCGAAAGAAAAGAACACATAATCATTTTATTTTGTACACTATCTTTCTGACAATCAGTCACCAAGTTTAACTGATAATACATAATTATTACAGGTGTTGCTAGCTATAAAAGCGTGAAAAAAAACTAATAAATTGAGTTATTTTGCAATTTATGTTTGGATGAACCACATATCACAAGCTTTTCATAGTTAACCGAAATAATTGAGCATTCAAATATACTTGGACGTACAGTAATAAGTATGCATAAAAAACAAAACCAGATAATATTGAGTTTCAGTTTTACAATTGTACACTATTTGTACACACAAAAAGTGAAAAAAAAACATAATTCTACCATTTATTAAACACAAATGCTTAAACTGAGAAATGGTTTATGAATTGAAGTTACGTAGCTGAAAGCATTAAATTAAGTAGTCTGATACTGAAACGTTAGTTAATCAAAAATTTGAAGTAAATAATAATAGTACTGATTCAAAGTGAATAAAAATTATATTTACATTGAGCATTGAATTAAAATCTACTAAAAAAACTATACAAATTATATAAAACAGAAATGAAATTTAATGGTAATTAATTTGTTTATGTGTCAGTTTTGTTGTCACATATCATGAATTGAGCTTTTAAACGAGAATTTAATTGTTCCCAATTCTGTGTTAATAACCATCGAGTATGATTTATAGAGGACGATATGGTTTGATTTAATAAACCATTAGAACTACTGGATGGATACAATTTGCGTGATTGACTATAGAACCCAGTAGGATCGATATCATAACTAGTGCCAGTAACACTATTACTTTTATTAAACGGATTTGAACGTCTAGAAAATATTGAGGATTTAACAGCTGAAAGAGTTGAATTATTATTATTATTATTTCCAATTAATGTAGATGATGATGATTGCTGATCTGTATTTGTTTGTTTTACCGTAGTCAGTGCTTTGTAGTGATCCTCTAAATCTTCAAGAGTTAAAGTAATAAATTCAATACTACATCTACTGATAGCACGCATCCAATCCTTGGAAAAGTATAAAGTGTACAAAATAAAGAAAAACATATTGAAATAAAGCAAACGCAAGTAGATCAGCACACAAAAATTGAGATAATGATTACATATTTGCACACAACTACCAAATGTGAACTAATATTAGTGAGTTTATTTTGAAGAATATAACATGAATAACGATTTCTTGGTTTCATTATTTAAATTCTTATATTCTAGTGCCTTAATTTCACTGTGGATACGGAAACTGTAAACCATACAATCACCTCACACTTAACTTCCATGTTATAAACAGAGGTAGATAGTGTCTAGCAGTGGAATCCAAAACTCGCGTTTAGTCGTAGTTGGGACTCATTCCTTGGATTCAACTACATTCCAGAGTTCACTCGGGGGCTCAAATCCAGTACTGATCGCTACAAACATAATCGCGTCTTTCACTTAGCTCCTAAGTCCAGATAGCCAATGACTTTTGAAAGGGAGTGAAATCCAATTCATTTTTATTAGTTGTTTTTTTTTAATCTTTCCATTTATGTTGAGTACTGCAGTGGATCAGTCTCTTGGATAAAAGCATATCCAGCTGACAAATCGCAGATAGGATGAAACGCGTGTTTTAGATCTCACTACTAGCCGCTATCCATCTATGTTTATATTGCTAGTGACTTAATGGCAATATATGGACAATCCGCACAGGATGCACATGTCGAAAGTAACTGAACAATTGCTATCCTAAATATCAACGGGAAGATTTAGACCAATACAAATGAATTAAACTCACATGTTAATTACTTAGTTTTCGTTCTAGTTTCCAAGCTTTTTAAGTAACTATATAAACAGGTGTCTTATCTAATAATATTAATCATTTCGGCAGAAAATAAAGGCTTTTGTAAACGGTCAGTCTTCATTATCTTGTTTAGCATAGCCGAATTTATGAAGCTAAGACGTAATTAGATCTTAACGATTACTCAATAATTAGTGACCAAATATGTGCTCTAGTTTTCAGCATTAATCAAGCAATAGAATGTAGAAATGGAGTCAATTTGCACGAAAACGAAACTTATAGGTAACCAATATGAAGTTAACAATAGAGAGCTGTGTTATTTAAAAGTAAATTCTACCTAGAGGAAATCCAAACATTTTATACTTGAGTGCCCCCAAATGCCCTGGTACGGCCGAGAGTGGGGAGAGTCCGCTCTACCTCTCGAAATGCTCTCACATGGCCACGCGTATATAGCCCCTGCCAGGGAAGTCCTACTCACTGCCTTCAAGTGGCGGGGGTGTTGTTTACGAAAATGAGAGGACGAAAAGCGAATGTCCGGCACTTTAACCGGATCCCAAACCAATGGTGCACATGGGCTCCAGTATCCTGCGGGAACAAATGGCGTATGAACCAATCGTTGGTCACCGGCTACCATGGGACTGCATCTCCTTACGATGCTCCACTGCCTTGTGGATCAGACGTTCAGGTCAAAGGCTCGGGGTGTGGCCCCCTAAGAAAACCACCTGCTTCGGTTTGGGCACCCGGGCAGTATCACAGCCCTCACACAAATCAATTGAGATTCGTGTGGCGCATATGTATTTGGTGCCTCCTTGTACCAATACCTATGTGTTAAAATAAAATAATAAATAATACTACTTGAGTGCGTTGACGAACACATTTACTGGACCAATTAGATCAATATTGTAGACTCGTTTACCATTACTAGTTGATGCGTATAGGTTGATGTTTGTTGATCATGTACTTAAGTAGCATCATATTTGATTGCTTTACTGTGAAGATGAGTTATTCCTATAACCTCAAGTAAATACTTTATTTATATTTATTTATTTATTTGAACACATAAATATTGGTACAAGGGGGCACCAAATACATATGCGCCACAATATATAAATACACCCGACCAATATTCTCTTTGGTGAAGTATTTCATTAAATTCGGTGGATAATGACACCAATGAACTTCTAAAGTTCGTATATTTTACAACACACTAATTAAACCACTCATTTAAGGTGAAATTTCATAAACCTTGAAGGAATGAAGAAACAAGTACATTTTGAAAACTTTGTTGATTTAATCAGAATTTGAGGTATTTTGAACAAAGGTTGAAATATAAGCTGGTGAATAACTGAGAAATAACCAATATAAAGGTGTTTAATGCTAGTTGCTGATTAGGTTATATTTACAGACTTTGTAACAAACACACTAGAATGTGACTCATTTTATTTATTTATTTTAACACATAAGTATAGGTACAGGGAGGCACCAAATACATATGCGCCACACGAATCTCAATTGATTTGTGTGAGGGCTGTGATACTGCTCGGGTGCCCAAACCGAAGCAGGTGGTTTTCTTAGGGGGCCACACTCCGACCCTTTGACCTGAACGTCTGATCCACAAGGCAGTGGAGCATCGTAAGGAGATGCAGTCCCATGGTAGCCGGTGACCAACGATTGGTTCATACGCCATTTGTTCCCGCAGGATACTGGAGCCCATGTGCACCATTGATTTGGGGTCCGGTTAAAGCGCCGAACATTCGCTTTTCGTCCTCTCATTTTCGTAAACAACACCCCCGCCACTTGAATGCAGTGAGTAGGACTTCCCTGGCAGAGGCTATATACGCATGGCCATGTGAGAGCATTTCGAGAGGGAGAGCGGACTCTCCCCACTCTCGGCCGTACCAGGGCATTTGGGGGCAGAATGTGACTCAACATCATAACGGACATTGCGTTGATGTTAAATGATTGGAGGTAAATGAAAAACTTAACGGATCGATTGAGTTCGATTAGTATTAAAGATTGGACAAAAGAGAATACTCACTAAGTTTGAAAATATTTTAGTCTTACGAAAAATTATTAGTGACTTAGATAGTTAAAAATTTAACGTCAAAGAGAGCGGAAGAATATATGATATGTCGTTTTCTAAAATCCGAGTCCAAACACATTGGTTATCTTGAAAAAAGGATAGAATGTTGAAGTTGTAGTTAGAAACAATAGTAGATATTTTATGTGATGAAAAAACAATTCTGATTGCTGCAAGAGAAACTGCATAAGTAGAATAACCAGATGAAATATCAACAAGTAAGTGGCATAGATTCTATTTTCAAGATAGGACAGAAATGAATATTTATCAGTACTTGCGTGTATCGGATATGTTATGAAGTGATAAGTTAATAACAATGACTGCATATTTAATGTCAATAAAATTTACTTTATTTCTTTTCTCCAGTTTGATTCAGTAAACACAAAGGTCATATAAGGGAACCTGGGTAACGAAGGCATACAAAAAAATGGCTTCCTTCGAAATAAACTCACTTCAATATCCTCAGCTGTTTCACCCTTTAAAATATAACTGCGAGATAATTCGCCAGGTCCTCTGAATCGTATTGCCATTTTCAAATCATCCAACATTTCAACAATATGACAATCCAAAAATATAATACCCAATGGTTCCTTATCCAACTTCTTATCAAAATACGCTAAAATATTACCACACAATATGAAGTAACGTTTTTTATATGATTTTTTCTGTTCTGAACGCTTTTTCCATAGAAAGCCCACTTTTTCCTCTTTTTCATAAGTCAGAAAATTTGTAACTGTTTTAGGGTTGAAAATAGGCATCGACAAATGAGATTAAATCACGGACTGTTCAAGTTGGTCAACAATAACTCATGCAACATAACCTCTCACTAAAAACCCAACACTACGTTAGAGCAGAAATGAAGTTCTGAGGACTGGTTGTTCATTTAGAACCTTAAGTACCTGTAGAGAAATAAAAAAAGATATATTTTTAGAAAAGGCTGGGGTAAGGACACTGGAAAAATTACTGTATGAATAACTAGCTAATAGCGATGAGACATATTGAATTGTTCACTTTAAAAACAAATACATTCTGATAATTAATGAAGGATACACGCAATGCGTCATGGCCAAAACATGTTTCGAATGAGTTAGAGATACTACTCGGTCTTGACCGAAGAGGAGTGGGCTATGTCCTTGTAACTCAAGGTTGGGTCACAACTTGAGTACTTCTTAGATTTATATCTGAAACCATGAAAATCGAGAGACGTTTGAAAATGATCACTGAGAATCCATCTAGATAGTTTCCTCGACTATAGTCATCCAGGTATCTTGACTTTCGACCAGAGAATGAAATTTACAAATCAGCATCAAGATGCAGCTGGATAGTTTCCGAACCCTCACGTAGAGTGTGGTTCAACTTTGAGTATATAAAAGTGGATATGATGATTTGCTACATCAATCCTGTCATATAGGTTTCCTAACTGACGTCTTGGTAGTTAGATACACCAAGTAGCATAGTTTAGAACTGATAATAATAAGCTCTTTGATGCTAACATTCATAAAATGTACATGTTTATGTACTGTTAAAAGTCACATCGTCTGTGTGGAGGCTGGCGATGTTACCCAACTGACCAAACTCAGATGAACCAAAGTTAAAATCCACAATCTGCCGAACAAAGCTGGTAGGAGTGAAGACGCTCTAATAATTAGAATATATTTATGGACCTATCGATTAATTTTTCACTTGTAGTTTAAAAGAAGACTGCTTTGTAATTATTTGCCCATGATAAACCATTAAGACACATGATAAGAGGCTTATTTTTCTGAATCTCCAGTTTGTTTCATGCAGGCAGTTTTCATTGAACACTAGGATAAAGTAACCATAACTGTGAAACCATACAGAGATATGTGGATTTTATATGCACAATTTTATAGGTAAGTTACAATCTGTGCTTACTTTAGTATGATGATAGTCGGTTTGAACGGATTGAGAAATATGGGTCGGTTGTAGGTAACGTCGATATGTTGCATGTTAAAATAGTTGCAATTTAATAATGTCAATAATAAAACTTTGATTGCAGAATGGTTAGATAAATCCCCAAAACATGTGTCCCTAAAATGTTGTACCACTTCTGAATAAATTTCATTCGTAATCCTACTCGTTATTAGAACATTCCAAGTGTTCAATTTAGTAGAGTGAAGCGTTAAGCATGTGATTCCAGTTAAGAAAGATAAATAGGGACCATCACACCATAAGTAAACGTAGCTGTGCCCAAAGCTTATGAATTCACTCGACAAAAAGCATTGGAAACATATTCTTTGAAAGTGTACACATAACTCCACATTTCACTATTACTTACGCAAGCAGATCACGTCGTGATAAATTGCTACCGTTACCAACCGAAGTGAATCAGAACTTAACGCAGCAATGTCAACGCCCGAAGTAAATTATATTGGCGAACACTGCAACCTTAAAAAGAGAATATGAACTTGTGAAAAATTATGAGGTTGACATAACTGTTTAAACGTATTTGACAGGTAAACTACTGTACTCTGATTGTGTGAAACTGAGCAAAATGTTTGCTTTCTTAAGCACATGAGCAATTCATTTGAGAATAGATTGAAACATAATATGCCAAGAAACTTACGTCAAGGAAACACCCACAGTTCAGTTACGCAGTATTGGAAAACAGCGCTTCAAACTACAATTTCCAATATATGCGGTGTTCTCTGTCATAAGCCTGAAAAACCGATTGATCTTTGCGCTCGGTTTTCGTTATTTCGGTAGGGTTCTAATTACTTGGTAATGTCTAATGACGGTCTAGCTACACGATAACAGTTATTAAGTTTCATGGTTTATAAATATAAATGTCAAACGACCTGATAATTCCTGTGAACTGTGGTAATGTGAAGAGTTGGTGTTACTAAGAACTAATCAATATAGGGCGCTGATTGCTCGATGAGGTAGATAAAATTCCAGTGGATGTGATGTTTGTGGATGGAATAGAAGCTTTCACTTTACGGGCTTCTATATCTGGTAGCAGATTAAGTTTCAGTTGCAGTTTGGAAAGAACAGGAGGCTTGATGGCCTGTCTTAGTCATGGTAATGGTGTTCTCTCAGTTGATCCAACTTTCTTTTTAAAGAATCTACGGATGGAGCTTCGACCACGTGTTGAGGTGATGAATTCCACTCGTTGATGATTCGGTGGGAAAGTCGATAATCAGCTGACAAGTAATTTGTTCTGGGCCTGTGAACTTTTTTGGAGTGCCCTCGTGAATTCTCTGTTTTGGAAGACAAGAAAAATGAGGGCATATCGGGTGCAAATTCATCACTAAGCAATTTCAAAACTGTTTTCAAGTCGCCTCTAGTTCTACGATATGACAAAGGGAATAGGTTTATCTTGGTCAGTCGAGCATCATACGGAAGCTTCGCTATTCCGGGAATCAGCTTAGTTGCTGTTCTCTTGACCTTTTCTAAAAGTTTACTGTCTTTTTTTCAGCAGGAGCTAGCCGCTTGTATGCACTACTCAAGTTTAGGACGTACGGCCACTGTATACAAAGTCAAAAACGTTTTAGCGTCGACATGAGTAAAAGGCCTACATATTGACCATAAAGTGCTAAAAGCTTTGGCGGCTATTGCACGGTAGTGTGCAGTAGTCTTTAGATCTTGGCTAACGATTACCCTCAAGTCATTATGTGTCTGAACAACTGGTGGCTCAGTGTTATTCATCGTGTATGTATCTGAACCTTGATGACCGATATGCATCACAACACACTTGGAAGTATTTATCGGCAGCTGCCATGTATGAGACCATTCGGATAGTTTCTTCAGGTCATTTTGGAGTTCTAAGTTATCACCCTTACATCGTATCGTTCTCCATATCTTGACATCGTCAGCATATAGCAAGACCGATGATGATAGTAAGCGAGGAAGATCATTTACACACAACAGGAATAGCACTGACCCCAAAACTGTACCCTGTGGCACCCCACTAAGCTGAGTTTCCCTGCTAGATAACTTTGAGTTTAGCCGTACTCTTTGTTGGCGCCCAACTAGGAAGTCTTCTATCCACATCAATAGATTTCCTCCAATTTCAACATTTCTTCGTTTATATAACAGCCGATTGTGTTGAACTTTGTCAAAGGCTTTGCTGAAATCAATGTAGGCTACGTCTACAGGTAACCTTTGGTCTTTAAGAGCTCACCAGCTTTCACGGGCGACTAATAAGTTAGTGAGACAAGAATAACCTATTCTGAAACCGTGCTGTTTTTCCGAACTGACCTGATATACATCGAAGTACTTAAACAGCTCTTTCCGAATAATCTTTTCTAAGATTTAAACAACCACACTAGTTAGGCTAACGGGTCGGTAATTCTCAGGTTTATGTTTCGTAACTGTTCTGGAGACAAGACTTACTATGGCGATTTTACAGTCTTTTGGTGCACAACCCTGCGTTACGGATAGGTCAAAGCATATACTTAAAGGGTTTGCAACGAAGTTAGATAATTCCCTAAGTAGCCTAGGATGCAATTCATCGGGCCCCATGGATTTACCAATGTCAAGCTTATTTAGCAGATCAAAGACATCGAGTTCATTTATGGTCACGCTATCCAGTGTATGTGTGGGGGGGTTTGTATGCGCTGACGGGAAGGGTGCTTCTATGGTATATGCATTGCTAAAGTAGTTTGAGAACACTTGAGTCTTGCCAAAGTCATCTTCCACTAATGATGCGGCAGTACTGTCTCCCCATAGTGCAGGAATAATTCTTCTTCTTTTTGTCCTTTGGTTTATATAGGAATACAGGCGTTTAGGACATTCTATGGATACCTTAACAATTTTTTCTTCGTACAGCTTTCTAGACTTACGGAGGGTCGAGGCACAGGTATTCCTAGCTTTTCGGTACTGAGATTTTGTCTCATCATTCCCAGTAACCTAAATCTATCGCACATTTTTCTTCTCTTACGGAGAAGGATGCAGACCTCCCTATTGAACCTAGGTGGGGAGTTTCTCGGCCCCTTTTGTATAGTCCAAGGAATGTGGGGTGCGGTAACTTTTAAGTATAAATTTCGGAATGCATCCCAAGCCGTGTCAATTGAGGACTCTGGGTCTATTATCCAATCGACTAATGATGCTTAGTGAATGATATCTGGTATGTTTGCTTTCCAGACGTTAGGTCTGGATTGAGCTGACGCGTGCTCGTGATTGACAGTTATATGGAAGTCAAAATTTAAAACTGCGTGATCACTTTTACCCAGAGGTGGCATATAAAGGACGTTCGCAACGTCATCCTCATAGTGAGTTAATATAAGATCTAGTAAGGATGATTCAGTGTCCGGTTTGTACCTAGTCGCTTCTTTCACATGTTGCACTAGGGCACATGTTATAACCGCATCAAATAGTTCCTGCTCGAAGGAATTATCTGAAGATTTAGTTCGCAGATTTCCCCAGTCTACCATAGGTGCATTAAAGTCCCCTAGGATTAAACATCGACCGCTTTGCGACCAATTTTTTAGTCTGTCTAGCAGGACATCATTTACCTCACAGCTTGGACTGCGGTAGACCAAACCAATTAGCAGCTCTTGCTCCTTGAATTTCAAGAGGCAAATAAACAATTCACACGTCCCACTTTCATGGGATACACTGTCAATAATGACAAGTGTGATAGCATTCTTAATGAATAGAGCTACTCCCCCTCCTTTACGCTTATGTATTCTGTCGGTCCTTACCAAAATAAAACCCTACAAACCGAGTTCCATACTATCTATAGACTGTGTCAGCCAGGTTTCTGTGACTGCGATTATGTCTGGCTTTGTAGGGTCAATCTGTTCACCTAGTTCCGATCGCACATTGAGCAAGCTTCGGGCACTAGTGTAACAGATCCGAAGCCTATTTAAGTGGCTTCGGCATCATTCTCTGACGAAGTCTCACAACCCGAAAATTTACAAAATTTACACGTCAAGCTTCCTATCGAAAGACTACCAGGAATCCACTTGCATTTCATCAGCCGTCAGCGAATTCCAGAATTTGGCTATTCGTAAAGAGTAGAAGATGTGCATACAGTCTGTACTGCTAAATTGTGCTTCTAATTTTTTGGTGCTAACCCTGAGACATGCGTTTAGACCGAGCTTAAGTAAGTATTTAATAGTGTCTGTGAATGTTATCATAAGGTTTAACCTTGAGTTTTCGACCCGATTTTACCACTAATCTTTGGATACGTTCTGGTGTATTCAGTCCTTTTGGGGTGAGGAAGGGACACTATATATTCATACTCTGAGTGAAGTCGAATAAAACAGTTGAACCTAACTAGAACGCTGTACTGCTAAACCGGCGGAAAATGGGTCTCGGCGTTACTAGTCCAAGGTTCACTCGAGAGGCACCTTTGTTGCAGTTAGCGTAATACTTAATATCGTAAGATACCAACACTCCTAGATCTTCTTTAAATTTAGATACATCTAGAGGGGAGTTACCTACGATATATCCATAGTGTGCAACGTGTCTCAGATGAACTCCTCTACACTGTGAAGTGTTGATTGCAATTCCGTCATTTTTAGCCAAACTTTGAAGTCGTATCAGATCCTTCTGAAGTACTAGCTTATAATTTTGCCAGGGAAATTCCTCTCGTAGTCTAAAACCACCAGCGAAAGGTAGTAAATTGGATTATACTTTCTGCGGAAGATCATCCGTTTCGATCAAAAATGAGGAGGTCATGGTACGGAACCATAGGAAACCTCACTAGGACATTTAGTAGCCCGATGAAAGGTAAAGTATTATCTGTTTATAAGGAGCCAATTTTATACTTAAAAGTTTGTGCTGGAAGAAATGATTAAACATATATACAACAAATCATTGACTTCCATAATTTAACTAGTGGATATTCATGTTTGACGGCTACAGAGTAAGGAAAAACCACATCAATATACTCTTTTTCAGACACGACATTGGCACCCAATGACCGCGTAAATTTTAATCATTAAATTAAGTTATGTTCGGGTTTTCCAAACAATGGAATTTACTTAGCGATATGAATAATCTAAACCGCGTTAAATAACCAGATGAACGAACGGACAAATTCTCTAAAACCCTCTTATTTTCGTGTTGTCACAAAACATTTGTGACAAAAGATTCTATACCTGTACTACCTAGTATACTGTGCATTGATACTAGGTTACCCTTTACTCTCCTGTTGCTAAACGCGTTAAATATCAAGTGAATGAGTCAACCCATGTAAGGACTATTTTCGACTCACATCTCTGTACTTGTTCTGAGAGATTCAATTCTCCTTCATAAAGTAAAGATGTAACGTCATTGGGGTTATAGTCTTTAGTAGAAGTGTGACAAAATCACGAGTCATCATCCCCACCTTATTCCAAACAAACAACAGTTTTATATTGTTCGCTCAGGTGAGAAAACTCCTTCTGTAGTTCTTCAAAGGTAACTACCAGTCCCAAGCCTGGATATAGGAGAAGGTTTGGACATGACATCAGCAACTTCATGGTTCTCGGAATAAGTGAAATCCGCTAGACCCTAGTCGGAAGGAAGACATTGGTTTTGGGGAAGCTTCCGTTGCTTCACACATAAAAGCAGTTGCTGCACTAGAAAGAAATGAAAGCGCCATCAGTAAAGGTGGTTAGCAACCAAAAACACATCCAGGATTCATGAAAGGAAGAAAGAATGTTGTAATGATAAACTTCATCAACATACCAAAGAAAAGAGATCTGAGCAAATGTGAAGACTGCAAAGGCATTAGACTGTATCCGAAAACGTTTTCATGGAATTTTTTACTGAACTTGATGAAAGACTCATTAGATGCTCAACTATGAGATTATCTGGCAGGATTCCATGAATATTGGCTGTGTACAGACCAATCACGGCAGTACGAAACATTGTTGAACAACGGAGGGAAGATGGTGTTCATAACCAATTATGATGATGATGGAGAGATAACCTCATATCTGTAGGACAGAACTTTTCGTTAACTCATGGTTTCTTATGGTCTATCGCGATGCAACTGACCAATTGTATTGATGTCAGTTTTCCATGCCGAATACCTGGAATTGGTTTTACTTCTCGCCGAGATATCCTATTGAAAGCAAATCCAGACTATTGCGCTCACCGCTAACTACTCCATAAATTTGCGGGGTTAAAACAATGATAGTCATGAAAAAAGGCATTTTCGTACCTCCATATTGTGTTCTCCTTACTATGTACTTGAAATATGCATAGTCGTAAACCTTGAGCTGCTTTGAATTCCCTCCATTCATATGGTCCCTTATCCATTCGCCACCATACGTTTGGTTTGTCCTCTTCAACAAAACGAAGTAAGCGTGTGTAAAAAATGGACCTAGTAAAAGTAAATAAGACCAAGTATTCATGCCTCCAGTTTTCCATCACAAATCAGCCGACTCCGTCGATAATAATCATATCCTGTTTTGGTTATTGCCTTTTCTTCTCTAATCTTTTGCTCAGCACGCTGCGATATACTACCTAAAAAATATTTATGGAACATATGACTTCATCCTAAGCTTACATTAACACCTCCGGTGATTCAGTTGTGCCACATATGAGCCTGGTAAGTGTGTTGCCTCTGTACATTACCAAGAGGCATGGAGTAATACGTTAATATTTCCGTTTTCAGTTGACCGATTTCGCGTTAAACGCTTTGCTTCTCGTCATAAAGAGCATTGGACTTTACCTGCATTCATTTTCGACCACCAGTTGCTTATTGCAACAAAACTTCCATAAAGTGAGTCAGCTTTCATATTGAACTTACCCATTTCACCGACATTATTTATCTACCAATGTAAGGAGATTCGTCTCCCTGTTTCTGTCACCAGAGGGTCTTACAAAATATCAACTTAGCTTAGCAACAAATCACCGTATATCCCGTAACATTTGTAAAAATTTTAATCTTGACTGTAAACTAGTGGGTGGAACGTTGATTCCAACCGATCTAACTAAATTCCCCGTATCAGAGCCAGAAGACATTATTGGTGATACCACAAATACGAATGAACTGTCACTCAAAAAATCTCTTTTCAGGTAGAATTCCGATGTTTTCATGAATTTCTGATTAACCACACTGGCAGTAATCTATTGTGTATGAGTACATTCTGGAAAGACACTCTTTAAAGGCAACGCTTGTGGTCAGGACAACTAGACTGTGATGTTAAAGGGAAACGATAAATGAATACACAAAATTCGATGCCGTTACTTTTTTCATTTGCTTGCAGACATATTAAAGTCAAGAACCTTATCCTTGAGGCTAAACATTTTGTTCGAAATAACTTTTGTATCGTAGCAACTGTAGCGGCTATTCAACATTGCTGTAAGTTCAGGACTTTAAAACAAAAATGATTGCACCGAAACTTTACAACGTTTACATGACGTCAATGGTAGAAAACTAGTATTCGTCATGGAATAAGTATACATTCTTGTATTTGTGTACAGTAGTACTGGAATAATTTCATCAGTATCTTTGCATTTAATAAATACGCCAAGAAAAAAGATTAAATATGTCTCGCACCTTTAAATGGTTCTTACTCCTACAGTTTTTTCGAGCTAAATAAATAGAATTAATTCAGTCATTTATTCTTAGCCACCCCAATTTCATAATTTCTGGGAAAATTTGACCAATTTTGAGGAAATTTTGGGAGTATAGCACCAAAACCCCAATATTTCCCTAAACTTTACCCTAAACCTTGGTGAACGTGATTTGGCTTTGGGGTTTTCCTCAAAATTTCATTAGCAATTTTCCCAAACGTGGGAGATAATGAAGTGGACATCAAGTGAACAGTTTATCAAAATATGTTCAAAAGGTGTTATTGTAGTGATGAAATAATCAAATATCAAATATTTATATTAAATACGAAGCCAATCGCGAATAGTATTTAAAGCTACTATCGGGTATTTCAAACATTATGGTCGCAGAAATGGAGATCAAACTGCCCTGTTTATATACATGTTTTCTACCTGAATTTCCAACACTTCAGACTATCCATTTATCTAACCAACCGACTGGACTTTAATGAATTTTTAAAAAAATGATAATGAACTTTGCTTTAGGACTCCTTCTAAGATGTCAACGTAAGATTTTAAATAAAGCAAGGTAAAGTTTTAAGTCAAGCGTCTTCTCACGGGAACTGACAGAACGGATTAAAAATACAAAACAAATGTTAAACCAAATGAGTCTGTGTGTCAAAGTTGAGCCTCTTTTTTTAATTGGATGACCGAATCGTTTAACTGACCCTTATTGCTGCATATAGTAGCAGGTTGGATTTTCTCATCTTTGATAATCACTTGGTCTGACCAGTTGCTCACGTTCAATATAATTTGACCCTGATAAATCTATTAAATCATACTATGCTTTCGAATCAGTTTTTTCATAAACTTTAATTTCATTAAAGCAATTCAAGCTTTTTTCCAAACTAATTTTTGGTCGTAGACTTTGGTCATAGGTTTTTCTAGGTAAAAGATCAAACCATCAGATTTTAAATGGCAACCGCAACAAAACCGGATACGAAAAGAACATATCTTAGTTGGTTTGAAAATCTTCACGCCGAAAGAAAGACGGCTGAAAGTTATCAGAATATATCTTATGATCATCGTCAATTGGTTAGAGCTAAACGCATAGAAACAGATATAAATACAAAGTAAGTTAAATTTAATGCGTCTGATCTAGTAATAAAGTTTAAAACACGTAGAACGTAACATTAGGGTGTCATTGGTAAATCTGTTTATATTCTTTCCATGAGGTGCTGTTTAGTCATTTCGTTACACTGATATGATTATATTTCTGCAGCCTAGAGATAAGTTATTTATCGTCTGAGATTTACTCCTCATCCCACACTGATCGTGTTATAGGCAGCTCTGACAAATTGGATTTGAGGAAGTGTTTGTTATCATTATTTCCTCTTAAATTTTACATCCTATTATTGTTAAGTCATAATAAGAAATTAATTGAAAGGTTTTTTTCTTCACTCAGCTTATGCCATCAGCTTCAGTAAAATCTGTAATGGATGAAGTATTTTTTAACCAATAAACCACAAACAATGAGAACTTGAAGAAAGATAAGCATGAATCTATATTATCGCACTTTACACCAACACAATAATATGAAACTATCAATTAATCCAGAATAATTATGGTATTAAAGTAATAAGATTAAAATGCACAGAAAAAGGCTTGAAAAAATAACACCCTAGCATAAAAAGTATGACGACATTTTGAAACTCGAGGTCTAGAGGAAAATAGTGAACAGACTATAGTAAGTTATTGCAATGGATTCTTCGTGAATATGAGCTACAGTTATTGTGCTAGAAGTCTGAAACCATTGAAACAGCTCAGACGAAGTCGTAATATAGCTATCGCTAATAGCATTTCAGCTTGCTCGACACGTAGATATAAGAGGTGGGCGGTCATGATTCAGAGATTCCCAATCTATGTTACTGAATAACGTTTCACAGCCTCAACCTCTTTATTATATTTAACCGATATCGTAAGCCTTAACCCAAGAATACTCGCTCAATGATTATATTTGATGGAGTCAATGCTTAAAACAACATTTGTAAGCGAATACTAACAACGTAATTTGATTTTTACCGCAATGACTTGCATCTTAAAGTCATAATGTAGTAAGAATGCTACCAATGATGGTTGATAGTTTTTTAAATAACAGTTTTTGTAAACAAAAACGAATTACTGAAGTTTTAGTTTAAAGCTGTGAATAACGGAGAAAAACAAATGTCATTGGTATTATTAAATGACAGTCATGCAGTATTGTGAATTCGGCAGAGTTTTGTTCTTTGAGTTGAATCCTTTGATTGTGGAGCTTTCACTGCTTTTCTGAACATTTCACTTCTACCTGAAGTTTGTGCTGATGATGTTAACCAAAAAAACAATGAAATCTCCAAGATAAAAACATTCAGCGCAAAGAACAAAACTCCATCCAAACCATCCATTTGAGCAATAAATACTCCTCACCATCTCAAAATATTTTCGGTTGACTAAATTTAAAAATACGAGCCACATAATTTCTACTCAACCATTAAAGAGTGCCGCGATTGTTGTCAGTTATGAACGTTTTAAAGGTACATGGAAGAGTTTTGAGTGGATACAAAACAAATGTTCTTCGTTTTCTGGTTTATAATAGTACTTGAGTTGATGTTGCTCATTGCTGAAAAATAATCACAAATTGGACATTGTTTGGGATTTTTCATACTCATCACTGTTAATTTCAGCAAATATTTGTTTTAAAGTGTCTTACACTATATTAGTGATCATTTGTAGTTTTTTTTAAAAAGGAGATTATTGTAAAGCTTTATTGAATGGTTAGATGTAAATTATTAAGGTATGCAGAAATTTCAGCTAAGTATTCATATATCCCATTAGAGTTCAAGTAAATGAATTCATAAAAAGATTCATGTTCATGATTTTTGTTTAGCATCCATTGGTTTACAGTTGTAAATTGAATGAATTTAGCAGTTTAGAAATATAAAGATTGAGCGCTCACCGAGAGACCCTATGGTCATGAGTTTGATCATGTACACGAAATTTTGAAGAATCTCATAACATAGTGAAAGACTGAGCCAGTGACTCTCGTTGTTCAACGGTTGTCTAATTAAGATCAGTCTGTGATGCAAACTATGAAATTTGAAAGTCTTAACCAACCACGTTTATAGTGGACACTATATTAAATCATCAGATAGTAAAAATCTATTTTTATTCTACTGTCATATCATATTTGTTTTGTTTAAATAGATATGATCAACTCCAGACAAATAATCATTTATCTGATCGTATATGGATTGTACGTCAATGGCGTGATAAATTAATGACTCAATTAGATAAACTCAAACAAAAAGAGATTCATTTAAAAGCTGTTAAACATAAAATACAAGAATTTATGATTAAATTAAATGATTCATTTGATGTCAACATTGAATCTCTAACACATTTAGATCATAGACAAAATGATGAAAATATTATTGATCCTGTTTTTAAGGAATTAAACAAGGTAATCTTTGTTTTGTAAATAGCTATAAATTTGATTATATAAAATATTGTAGTAATTAATTTACTCAAACGTTTAGTTTGTTCACAAAACTACTTCTCAAATCTATGAAGTGGATAGGTCCGGGTAACAGGATTATTACCCAACTGAATAAACCTTCCATTCAGGGATTACGACTAAAACTCATACTGAAAAGATAATCCTTGACTGGTATATCAAGTTACATAGATTCAAATTGTTCAAGGAGGATTAGTTATCACGTGATTTTGAACACTTTGTAATAACAAATATTTAGTAATACAAAATGTAGGTCCATGTATTTTTGAATATACTCTTCAACCATCGACCAACAAACAAACTGTACTACAATATCATGTTACTTAAAGTAATAAGTTGGTAATATAGCAGAAATCAGGTGTAATTCTTTAGAATGACAGTTATTAAATTGATTTGTCAAATCTGCAGTTTAGTCAAGGGTTAATCACATAGTGAGCAATTGTCATTAATCAAAAATTAGTTATTAACAAAATATGGATACAGTAGTGATTGATAGTAAAAATACAGGCTGTCATAACAATGTTTGATCATATACATAATGTGAAATATACTGAAAAAAAGTGCTAAAAGACAATGTATATAGGGAACATGTAGAAAGTTAATTATCAGATTTATATTAATTACATGCAGTTAGTTCCCTCTATGAATTTAAATAAAGTAAGAACAAATATTGATGCAGAATAGTATGAATTCATAAGATTCCGAAGTTTCTCGTCAGCTGCTTACAACCAAATATGTGATAAGCTTTTTACATTGAGATAGTGTAAAACAATTGGCATAAATGAATGTACATGATTAGAATGACAAAGATTTACAATAATAACTATATATATATATATATATATATATATATATATATATATATATATATATATATATATATATATATATATATATATGCTAGAACAGGTCAGAGGTTAATTGGTGTTAGAATTAAGGAGACAATTAATGATGGGAGATGTAATAGTTGAATGGAGTTTATAAATTGTGTGATAATTATTTTAGAGGTATTAGAACAGTGATAAGATAGGTTACGTAATGATTGAATAAAATTTGAACAGTTAAGATAATCTAACAGTATCAGTCCGTGCTTGTAAAATACCTCCTTCCTTAAAAAATCTTCGACGCGTCACTAAATCCCAAATTGAATGTACTAAAGAACGTATTTCCAAACTTAAAACATAATCACTTCGATATGACAAAATTGTTATGGATTTAAACATTGTATGTAGAATCAAACTCATGAATTTCATTCACGATGTTCAATCCAAAACCAGTCATATATTTTTAAAGACATTAACCAAAACACTTGTAAAAGAACAAAAACATAACACCTTCCCTACGAATCCAGGAAAATACGTACATAATCTTTCTAGTAAAAAACTAACTCGAATTGAAACTGTGACACTCTCTCTCGGATTTAAATTTCATATTCCGAAAAAATGTAAAAGAATTGACACAGAAACCCAGTTTGAGTATTTATGTCAACAATTGTCAGAACTCAAACCTATGAACGAAGAAAAACATAGTTGGTTAAAATCGAAATTAGTTGATATTACAAACCAGTACATAACGACACCAACCCCACAATCGAAGGTGTTAACTAAAGATCATCAACCAGCATTAAAAAAACTTGTGAAAGACGAAACAATACTGCTACTTCGTTCAGACAAGGGTTCCGGGGTAGTCGTTCTTAACAGAGATGAATACATTAACAAATTAATGTCTACTTTAAACGATTCCACTAGATTTATTATCAATAATACCCAGAAAGACTTAACAGAAACGACCGAGAAACGTCTCCTAAAAAATTGAGAGAACTTCTAAAGAAAAATCTAATAGATAATCATACATACAATGAACTTAAACCTAAAGGATCACAATTACCATACTTATATGGCCTACCCAAAACTCATAAGCCCGAAATCCCGATAAGACCAATATTATGCATGACCAACTCACCCTTCCACAAACTCGCTCGCTGGCTGACAAAATGGCTAGAACCAATCCGAAAGAAAGTAGCACCCTACAGTCTAAAAGACAGTTTTGAATTCGCACAAAAACTCGACAACCTAAATGTTTCTGATAAATTTATGGTTTCATTTGACGTCTCATCACTCTTCACAAACATCCCCTTGGAAGAAACGGTTGAAATCATATGTAAATATCCTGAACTTCTACCTCTACCAGCCCAGGATTTTAAACAGCTCCTTTTGTATGTACCAGAAACATACAATTTCAATTTAATAATGTCTTTTACCGCCAAATTGATGGAGTTGCTATGGGTAGCCCGTTGGGCTCAATTCTTGCTGATATATTTATAGGATACCTGGAACTAAATAAGCTTAAGCACGCAATTGACGATACTACATTCTACTGTAGATACATCGATGACACATTTCTCGTCTGAAACAATCATAAGCACGCCATTAGACTACTTGATCTGTTCAATAAAGCACATAACAATATAGAATTTACTATGGAAAAGGAAGTTGAAGGTAAATTCCATTTCCTTGATATTGGGATCAGACGAACATCTGATGGTACATTAAACAGACACATTCATCATAAAAATACTTGGAGTGGACTATATCTCAATTACTACAGTTTTTGTCCAATGAGTTACAAAAAGGGTTTGATACGAACCCTTTTTAACCGCGCTCACAAAATTTGTTCAAAGGAATGCCTGAATGATGAAATTACTCTCATCACTAATGTTCTACGAGAAAATGCATACCCGTTGAAATTTATTCACAAACATGCAAAAACCAACCCTCAAACAAAGTACGATAGAGTTGAAAAGAAACCTTGCTTCTTATATCTACGTTTCAAAGGAGATGAAATTGCTGGCTGAATTAATCACAGACTAAATTCAGCGTTGAAAGTTGCCTACCCAGCAGCAAAACTAACAACAGTATGGAAAACAAATTGCTCACTTAAAGAAACTAAAATCGACAAGTCCTCTTTTCTTAGTAGCTCCAACTGCATTTACCAATTCACATGTACGTGCCAAAGCACATACATTGGAAGAACTGAGAGAAGAGTTCATGTTCGCATTTCGAAGCATATTCCAAAGAACTTGAGGCTGCGAGGGACTAAGGCTCTTAACAGTGCGATAGCTCGGCATTTACTTGACACCGGGCATACCATCGATATTTCGCACGCTTTTAAAATTATCAACAGACAAAGAAGTACTACTACTCTCTGCTTTGCGGAAGCGATTGCAATAAAAAAACTTAAACCGGATTTATGCATTCAAAAAGAGACACTAATTAAATTATTATTACCCTGGTAATCCATTATTTTTTGTGTGTGTTATTTGATTCACTTATTTATTTTAAAAAAAAATTATTTTGTGTTATCCTCCACACCCCCCCCCTCATTACTTAATTCTTAAACCAATTTTTATCCACATATTTCCGCCTCACTGATACTGTTAGATTATCTTAACTGTTCAAATTTTATTCAATCATTACGTAACCTATCTTATCACTGTTCTAATACCTCTAAAATAATTATCACACAATTTATAAACTCCATTCAACTATTACATCTCCCATCTTTAATTGTCTCCTTAATTCTAACACCAATTAACCTCTGACCTGTTCTAGCATATATATATATATATATATATATATATATATATATATATATATATATATATATATATATATATATATATATATATATATATATATATATATATATAGTTATTATTGTAAATCTTTGTCATTCTAATCATGTACATTCATTTATGCCAATTGTTTTACACTATCTCAATATAAAAAGCTTATCACATATTTGGTTGTAAGCAGCTGACGAGAAACTTCGGAATCTTATGAATTCATACTATTCTGTATCTATATTTGTTCTTGCTTTATTTATATTAATTAGTCAGAGATTAGTAACCAATTTCATGACTTCTAATTCTTAGTACCTTTGAATTATAATAATCTAAAAGCAATGTAGCCACTAGTATAAATCATTTAATATCTTAGGCTCCTTTGTCTCTAGGTAGTTAAGGGCAATTGTCAGAATATCTTAGATATACATTTCTCAATAATTAATATTCATCCATAGTGAAGTGAGTAACTGTAATTTTGAGGAAACTGATAATATTTCCAATTGAAATCGAATTCAAACCACCCAGTCTAACTAACGTCTAACGTCTGTTACCAATATTGATATTAATACGAGTGAAACTAAAATATGAAGAATAATAATAGCTTTAGTGAATAACCATGTTTCAATATTGCCCCCATATTTAAATAATATCATTATGATCTTACAACTCAATGTAATAATAGAATCAATACTTTTATTTGATTATGTATTGCATAATAGGTAATTGGACGAATTCATATTCTACCATTTATAATTTGTCTATTACTAGATTAAATTAACTGTGAAATATTTGTCATTATAAGTTTATATTGGAGCTTGTATTTTAGGTGCTTAGTTGAAACACAACACAACAAATCATTTAACTTAGTGATAAAATTTTGTACCCATCAGTGGAGTGAATTTCACACAGCTAATAAGAGAAAACTCTAACTCACAAAGTTGCGGTGTAATCGTCGAAACTGAACAATCATGTAAACAAATCATTAATATATATAACTTCGCTACTACAGATATGAATATGTAATCCGGAATCTCGATTAAGTGCTTTGCTGACTACTTTCGACAACGTGCCTCGTTTAGAATTTTTCACCTGACAGTTGATCCTTAAATGTGTGAGTACAGAAACGTGATAAACCAATTATCTCCCAGACTATCAGCTCTCCACTCAACGTTAAGACTTTAGGTTCGACTAGGTGTAGGGAAGACACTAATGAAGAGTTCAAATGTGAGTTGAGGAAATCGCTCAATGCTCTCTATTTTCTAATGGTTTTCTGGTCGATGTAGTTCTATAAATAAAATTACCTGCAAACTGAACTATTCTTCACAAGTTATCAAATTGAATAGCATAATGTTGAAGCGTTTCTTATGTTTGTGTATGGCAAAATACGTAGAGCTTCAAATCAGATGTAAAATTTAATCAAATAATGATTATTCATTTAGGACCAGTTCTTGATATCAATGTGTTGATTAGAAAAAATATTTTAAAAAAAATTAACAATCAAGAAAAACGTTTCATTTTCTTACTTGTAAGAAATTGAAATAATCAACTCATGTATACATGTTTTACCATTCACCAAATCAGAAATGAAGACGGAGCTCTTATATCCAATTTTCGCCTGTTACATCAAAATGTGAGCAATATAACATGACAATATTAAATATCTCTAGTCATTCATGTAATATATAGGCACTACACTTAGAAAAGTACAAGTATTTATAAGCGCTTGTCGACACAAAATACTCAATGTTCGTCGGTTGGATAACATCAGCAATAGCTCACTATGGGAGAGAACAAATTAGTTTTCGAACGAAGAGGAAATTAGAAAAAGACCATCGAGGTGGATAGGACATACATTACGGAAATCATCAGACTGCATCATGATGCAGGCCCACACTTGTTATCTTGAAGGAAACAGGAAAAGAGGGAGACCATAGAACACATTGCGTTGGGAATGGGAAGCAGGCATCAAAAGGATGAATAGTAATTGGAAAGAACAGGAAAGAATTACATAGGACAGAGTTGGATGGAGAATTCTGGTAGGTGGCCTACGCTCCTCCACAAGGTGTAACAGACCTAAGTTAATAAGTACGTAAAAGCATAGAATAGTTAGTGACTTGATCACGTCTCACAAAAGTAGAACTGTACAGTGTGAACTGTTATAAAGTACTTGATCATTAATTAAAATCCATATAATTAATTGATAACATTTTAGTACTAAATAACTGAATGATTAAATAGGGAAAATTTCTTTAAAATTTTTCTTCACTGTATTCACTGTATTCATTTTTAATTCTATCAGGAACGTGATTTATTGAAAGAAATACAAACAGATCTTCAACGACAAATCGATGAAGCAATTCATTTATTAGTTGAAATGAATAATGTAGCAAAACCATTTTATTCAGATATTTTTAATAAAAATGAAGCTGTACATATCGATATTGATGTTTATAATTTAAATGAAAAATCATCTTGTATTAGTCATAAACCATTCTGTGAACGTTTACCAGAAAGGTGAGTGAATAACCATCACTGATTGACAATAGGTTATTTATTCATCGAGACGTTCAGTGAGTTGATACAGTTTGATCATCTGGCTATGTTGTTACGTTCATATCTGTAATGGTGTGTTAATATAATCTCACCGACTGCCAACTTACATCACCTATAGAGATGACGAGATATCCAACTATCAATTAAAGGACAAGTATACTGAGCAGCAGTTCGTTCTGTTCCAATTTACGGCTGAGAAACTTAGACATTAAGAGCAGAAGATACTCGTAAGCTACTAGTATTTGATCATAGATGTCTTAGAAATATTGCTTCCAATTGCTGGAATCACTAGGTAAGTAATACTGAGGTTAGACGCAGAGTATTGGGGAACGATGGTGAATTAGTTGATGAGGTTATGAATCTTTGTTGGCTGAGCCACGTGTTACATATGCCTGAACACCGATTACCACGACGCGCAATGCTGGCTAGTGTTAGGAATGGTTGGAAGAAAGTTAGAAGCGGCAAAACCAAAACGTGTCACCAATCCTTGAAGTCACTAAATTCTAGTCTGAGCCATGTTGGTAGATGCAGACTACTTGGTTTGGGTCCGCGTGATTATCACAACTAATGGTTGGAGAATCTGGGTGACATGGCACAGAGTGGATTACAATCGCATAGGTGTATACACTCTTTGTCTTCTCATAAACCGTGAGATTAAAATTGTTCATACATTTTTCCATGAACTAATTCTTTATTCTTGTACTATATACTAATACACAATCTTTCTTATATATAATACTACCATTGAAGTAACTACTTCTATGAATTTGGTGTTCATCTTGTTGTGCTGATGAGGTATGGCAACATGGACCGATGAATATATGTGCCTGGTCCTACACTGTATCTGACTGATTAACTTAATTTCAAATTGAAAAATAGAAGAATGTAAATCCATTTATCTTAATGAGTATAATGAGTATATTGAAGATAGCTATTATTTTCTGACAACAAGTGTCTTCTTAAACACTTGAAATTTGCATGAATTTTTTTATAAACGAAGCTTACTGAAATATGATTTTTTTACATGGTGACTGAATAAGAGACAGCTTAAAATACTAGACAGCTTTCTTGACGTTTTGTTCAATAATTCCAACGTCTCTATATTTAAAAAAGTTTTTTCTTTACTCTATAGAGTACTAATGGTATTCAATCAGTCCCTCATTCACAACTATAGGACTTTGTACATATACGCAATGGTCTGGGCTTCTGCATTGTATTAATATAGCCTTATGAAATTGACAAGATCCATGACATGGGGGTTAAAATAATAGTAGTGTCAGCGATAGTGAAGTAGAATAGACAATAAAGCATGGAAAGTATGAATTAATACTAAGATTGGAAGTAAAAGGAAATATAGAAAGTGAGTAGATAAGCTCCACTGAAACTGGTTTTGAACACAATCAACTAAGGTTTTCAAACAGTGACCAAGATTCTTGCACTGACTAAAACCAGTCAGTCTGTACCTATTAAATTGATTTTGATCACTTTTAACTTTTCACTAATTCCAAGTTAAATTAACCAACATTGGATTTCCAAAATCTGGTAATTAATTTTGCATAAAACTTTTCCTATTCACCTTGGTCGATAAAAATTCACACTCTCATTGAATTAACTTAATATATTCCACTTACTCTCAGCATTAAGCCCTTGTCTATTCCACGAAAGATTCTTTGAAGAAATCTGTAATTATACAATTTTAACTTAAACACATCCTTTGGATTCAAAGATTGCGCTTGATAATCATGAATTAAAACTAACAGAAATGCTTTTCATACTGTTCGTAACATAAATTCAGACTGCAGTTATTCTCAGTGTCTATGCACAGAACAATATGGTATGAATATGGAAGTATATGTTCATGCTGTCAAGTGTTCAGACACTTATCATGAAAATAATAGAGTATCTTTGTTTTAATAAATTTGAACTTGTGACAATAAACTACCTTTCAACTGACAAATTTAACGCTAAGTTGAAGGGATTTTGTGGAAATTGATTAAATTTATGCTTTATATTCGTTACAGATTGATCTTTCATGGGTACCATTGAAGCAAGCACTATGAAGCAACTGTTTCATCCTAATATGGAACTCCTCATAAGTGTTCATCAATGACTTCCCAAGAGGTTGTGTGCATGGCTTTAGATATCACACCAAATGACGAACTACTAGAAACCATTAGAGACATGAAGGTCACGGGTTTTAACTCTGGGAAAGGTATGAGTACACACTACCGAGGAGTTACATATTAGGACGAAACAGAAGTCCATTGCTTCCTAGTTTTCATTAGTAATCTAACTAAGATCAATCTATGATGAATATTACTCGTGAACTAATTATAACTTATCATTTTACCCCTAAATTTATTCAATTGTTCCATTATAATTCTCAATCATTCATTCAGTTATTCTTTTTCCTTATATTTACATAGCTCAATAGATTTACAAACATGGGAGAATATAAGTTATCAAACTTTAGAAAATGCTAAAAATGTAATTGAAAAGGCTGATGATTTACTACATCGATTGCATAATAGTCTGCATAAAGCAATCAATAGGATGGCTAGTAAAGCTAGTCAAGTAGATAATGAACTACGTAAGCGTATACATGATACTCTTAGATCATTATGTGAAATCGAATATCAAATTAAAAGTGTAAGCTATGAATCTTATTAGTTGAAATGATTTTCATATACTCATTGTTTTAATTATCTTCATTTGGGTGTACTTTAAAATTTTTTAACCCTTTAATTTCTTACGATAAAAATACCGGTGCGTATTGATTATTTATATCAGCTGGAAAATTATTAAGAATCTGGCGACATTGAATAATTGTTTCTTACAATATTGGAATTTATGGACAACACTTACCACACGTTCCCCCACAAGACTGAATCCAGAAACCAAGACTCTCTTTGCCTGCATGATGTTACTCAGTCACTTAATCGAGGCTCTTGGTAAACTAAAACAAAGCTAACCTGTAAAAATTCATAATTTACAAGGTTTAAGGATTCAAAATCATTACGTGGTTTCATTTAGCTCCATGAGTAGCCTAATTATAACTTTCTGAAAAAGAATTTTTCAGCTACAACAAGTTAATCAATGCTGAACATTCGTTTTTTTTGCTGATTATTAATGTTAAAACACGAAGTTCAGCGAAGGGATCTCTTTTCAACGAATTTATTATCAAGCTGTACAATCGTATATATATATATAAAATTTTTGTAAAAGTACTAATTCCGTGAGGAAATGTGAACACAGTTAACCATGACATAATAAAAAGGGGTTATAATACTAGATGAGAATATAAGACATAAGTAAAGGGGGAATGCAGTAATAATAATAATAATAGAATAATCAAAATAATTAAGGCCAAGGTAACGATAGCGATAAGACGTACTTCTTTTGTACGCATAGTTCTGGTTTAAGCTCCTGAATGGTAAGAGCTTCGGCTATTTTTAGGAGTTGGATACGAAGAAATCTAGGTAGATTTGGACGAATCATATAAACAACCTTAAAATCAATTTGTGGATCTGTAGAATGGTTACAGTCGATAAGGTGTTCAAGTATAGAACTCCTAACTGCTTTCCTTACACCCTTATAGAACCAAGCTGGAATATGTTCCCGTATCCGAGTTGAAAGCGAGCGCTGGCTACGGCCAATGTACCTTGCTCCACAAGAGCAGGTGAACTGATAGATGCACATAGAGGCGACCAGACGCGGAAGCTTATCTTTTATGGATACAGAAAATAAGTTCCTACTAGTGAATGTTATTCGCAGTTTAGCCGCATTAAATGTTCTTCTAATCGTTGTTGTTAGACGATTTTTGATCACATCTGATGTTCGATCACCTTTAAATTCCAGACTTATATAAAGGTTTTTCTTCGGAACGGAACAACTAGATTTCTTGTCGTAATTACTTCTATTCAGATTCTTTTCTATGAACCGTTCTGGGTAGCCATTTTCCTTCAAGGTTTTCTTGAGGAATGCGAGTTCTTCGTTAATGCATTCCGTACTGCATATCTGGTGTATTCGATAACATAAAGAATGGATAAGATTTCTCTTTCTACTTAACGGGACCCAGCTATAGAAGTTGGTTAGCTGGCCATTCCATGTTTGTTTTCTAAAGACCGATCTTTTTAAAGAACCATTACTCCTTCTCATCAGACGTACATCGAGAAAAGGAATTGATTGGTCTCGTTCCCTTTCTAACGTGAAGTCTATGGATGGGTGGCATGAGTTAAAAGTGTGTAAAATATCATCTAGATCAATATTATTGTCACAAACGATAAACGTGTCGTCCATGTATCTCACGTATAGGTGAAATCGATTGATCATTGAACGGAGTTGGTCGTTTTCTACTTTTGCCATGAAACAGTCTGCTAAAATTGGACCCAATGGAGACCCCATTGCGATCCCATCCCTTTGTCTATATATTTCATTATTGAAACTGAATTGGACATTAAAAGTACAGCGTAACAATAGTTCTTTCAAGTGTTCAGTCGGTAAACCTAGATCTATGTTGTTAGAATCTATATACTCACATATATAGCATATCGTTTCGGTTAAAGGTACGCTAGTGAACAAAGAGTTAACGTCAAGCGAGAACATGTGTTTTCCGGAAGTATTAATGTCCTTAATACGATCAATAAATTGAAAAGTATCATGAATAGAATATTTAGATACTTGCCTTCTAACCGGTTCCAATTTTTCCGCTAACCATTTGGCGATTCGGTGGTATGGTGAACTCGACATGTCCAAAATAGGTCGCATCATCTTATTATATTCACTAAATCTATTGTTATTATTCGTATTACGTAATCTAGTATTATAACCCCTTTTTATTATATCATGGTTAACTGTGTTCACATTTCCTCACGGAATTAGTACTTTTACAAAAATTTTATATATATATATATACGATTGTACAGCTTGATAATAAATTCGTTGAAAAGAGATCCCTTCGCTGAACTTCGTGTTTTACTTTTAATGTTTAAATGGGAATTATCTGTCGATTATTAATGTGTTTAAAAGATATATAAACTGTGATTACTTCAAACGGTAACTTTCATTCAGTTGATTGAATATTAGAGTACAACAAAACAGAACTATTAGTTTTCTAATATAAAGGACAAATGTAGAAAAAAACTATTAGAGTTCTGTTAGTTAGACTCATTTACGTGATAATATTTTTAATTAAATGGATGACAAACAGTAAACTATTGTGTCAAACAACTATTTACTCAATGATATTACATTTAATCATTTTTTCATTCAAAATATTTTAGTTTTATTTTTTTAAACTTACAATAATTATTTTAAAAATGTAATCAGGTTTATCAGGAAGTTGTTAGGTAGTTTAAGTTAAAATGCTGATAATTTTCAAGTTATACAATAGTCATGCTTAAAAATTATTGAGAAATTGAGTTGCAAATTCGGATAGTGACTAGCAGTGGAATCCAAAACTCATGTTTTGTCCTATTTTGGACTCGTCAGCTAGATGTAACTACATCCTAGAACTGGTGTTCACTCTGGAACTCGAACTCATTACCGTTCTCTTCAAACGCCATCGTGTTATCCACTGAGGATGAAACGCGTGTCCTGGATTCCACTGCTAACCACTATACATCTTTGCTTAGAATACTTGTGAATTAAGACAATATCGATGCAATGGGCACAGTATACACATATACCAATAAGAGATTGTTCAATTGCAGTCCTAAAGATCAATGGGAAGATTCACGTGAATTTATATTCTGAACTGTTTTTTTTCATACACTTGTCATCAGTATGTTTTATCATTGTAGACTGAAAATGAAAGGGATGAACATTTAAAAGATATAAAAAGTTTAGAAGATACTGTACGTGCAAAAAAAGAAAGTGTAAAATTAGCCGAAACACGACTGGAGAAACGTCATGATAGATCGGGGAATGAAAATATTCGAGATGTTGCACAATTAAGCCTGATAGAAGAGTTATCAAACCTACGCAATTGTATTGATATGTTAGAAGAAAAACTTACAAAATCTAGGTATTTCCATATTTTATGCTCGCCTAATTTTTTTCACATTTTTATACTACTTATTATCGATTGGTTCTAGTAGCATGATATGAAGTTTTAAAAGAAGAAATCATGACAATACGCATTTTGAAAACTAACGGTTACAATCAATTTAAATACACTTATATTAAAAACCTTTTAGAATGAAAATAAGGAGATATTCAAAGTTGCTTCATTGAAGTTGGAAGATTGATGATTGGGATTAAAAATCCTATGTTGCTTTAAAACATGATGGTATATTTTCTTTTAGTTTGATTCATTTTGAAATTGAGTGGAGAGTAACCATACAGACAAAAGTACCAGTTCCTCACAGAGATAAGATTGATCAGACAAATGCAGTTGTTAGGTTACTAGGTGTTTGCAGTGAGTATAGACTCATACAGCTATCTAATCGTTTGAGCCTAGAATATTCATTAGGAACTGAGAAACTTTGAACAGATCCTTTGAACTAGCCTTAGTTTGAGACGTATTTCACTGAAATTCAATGTAGTTAGTTTGACTGAACTGAAAAAAAGTATTTATAAATGATCACTCAAAAACTAGCATTACAAGTGATTTTCATATACTTTGTGTTGATCCCGCATGAAAAGTAGTTATTTCAATAGAGTTTACGTTTTATAGCAATTTTAAGGCGTTAAATAGGTTTATGTTCGTGTTATTTCAAATTTTCGTATTTCATAATTTCTCAGAAAGGGGTTTTGTAAATGTTATAGTAATTTAATAGTTGATTTCATGAGTCAATTGAAGCTAGATTACCATGGAAAACCTGGAACTACTGGACGGCCGTTTCATCCTAGTGGGGGACTACTCAGCAGTGCGCATCCAAGATCCCGCTGTGTGGAATTCATGATTTTCCTGTCTACTTGGTAGAGATATTAAGAAATTCTTTGGAAAACTATATATTAAAGTTGTTTATCACTTTTGTTTTATTAGTTATGGAAGATATCTTAACTTCTTCGTACATGTTTAAGTTTGGATTATGAATCAAATCTACATCAAAATAACTATAATACTAGACTTTTTCAGTTTATTAGTTAAAATATGTCTATAAAATCAAGTCAATACTCGAGTAAAGAAAGAAAGTTGTGAAATATCATATAATATATATTATTCATATCAATTGAAGGATTTGTGTACTTTAGAAGATTTCATTCACATGTGAAATGACTAACTTCCCGAATTAATAATTCAATTACTAAACTTTTAATCAAATGGTAAAAAGAAATCCTGTTAAATGAATGTGTTCAACATCTTAAATTAAGATAAAATGTAACGTAGTATGTTTTAATTACCTACTTACGCTTGTTACTCCGAATGGAGCATAGGCCGCCAACTAGCATTCTTTAACCCATTCTGTCTTGGACAAACGTAGTATATACATTTTTTTTCTATAATTTAATATATTAAACTTTTCTAACATGTGAGAATAATCCATTTTTATTTATTTCAATCTATCCGAAAATATTCCAGGAATATACTGAATAATTTAGAACATCAAATTGTTCAACTACATCATGATACTCAACAAAAACGTAATGCTTTACAAATTTATGAAGAAATTCATAATATACGTAAACGTCTTGATTATACTACAATTATTAATATTAATACAAATACACATAGTCATTTGTCATTATGTCCAATGATACCCAATGGTATTCAACGAGAACCAGTTTTATTTTAATAAGTGAAAGAGAAGTAATGAAATTTCAAAAAGTTTCTAATCTTATTTCATCACTTTAAAACACGTAAAGCTTTATTCTATTAATCTCATTGTAGTTACGTAATTATTTTATTTTATTTGATAATAGTTCTTTAATATTTCTTCATTACATTATGATCAATAAGCATTGAAGAACTCGATTTCTTTCTGTGATAACAATGAATTATCTTATTTATTCATGATTATTATTATTATTGTCATTTTATTTGAGAACAACAAAAAAAAAACAATGGAAAAATCTCACTAAATATGTCTTTCATTCAATATAAATCAAATACATTTGAGATGGGGAAAAAGATTTATAGCTCAGCTGAATGATTTTGATAAAGTTTTGTTCTTTGATCTGGATTGTTTGATCGTGGAGCTTTCATCATTCCTTTGAATAACATCATCAAAATCAAATATATTTATCTTGTTCTACTCTTATGTACTAACTAATACATTATTCTAAATAGTCAATAATTATAAATACAAATTTATTTGATATCAATAGATGTTTATCACATATTTATCAATGTTAATTAGACTATTTAAGTAATTACTTATCAAACAACTGATGATTTTTGTAACTTGATATATCAGTTGAATTAGTATATAAATAATATTAACTGTTTGAGTATAGTACAATGAAGAAGTGAGAAAACCTAAATATCATTATTTAACATTATGTTTTGAAATAGATAACCCATTTATTAAGTGTCATTACAAATATAGTTAGGTGAGAATCAATATAAAGAAAGCAAATTAGTTAATGTTACAATACTAGTAGTAATAGTTACGAATACTAAACATAACAAAGTAAATTAAAGAGGAATATTTAAAAAGGCAAGTGTAAAATTAAGGAATAAAGTGTATAAGATAAGGATTGTAATGGAAACAGGCTAATTAAGGTTGTCAATCACTAATTACAATGATCTAATGTATCCTCAAAAAGTGGTCAATGGAAAGAAATATGAAGAAATGTCCTTTCAATTATCTTTTTTGGTCTCGTCTCTACACTAATATATAGAAGTTAAGCAATACTAAGGTACCTATAAATTAAGTAAAAATGCTACACATTAACGTAATTTTCTAAGTGTTTATGAAAATAATACTGAATGATTGACTAATTAGTTGAAAGAAAACAGATAATGCCTGTTACCCATAATGGGGAAAAGACCACCGACCGGCATTCTCCAACCCTTTCTGTCCTAGGTCTTTCTTTCTCGTTCCATCCAATTGTTGTTCATTCATCTCATGTCTGTCTTCATTTTTCAGCGTAATGTGTTCCTTGGTCTTTCTCGTTTCCTCTGGTCTTGAGGATACCAAGTGAGGGCTTGCCTTGTGACTCTGTTGTGTGATTTCCTCAATGCGCATCCTATCCACTTCCATGCTTCTTCCTAATTTCTTCCTTTACTGGACAGTGGTTTGTTCTCTCCGACAGTAGGTTGTTGCTGATAGTGTCTGGTCAACGGATCCTAAGTATTATGCCTAGACAACTGCTGATAAACACGTGTATCTTCTGGATGATGGCTTTCGTAGTTCTACAAGTTTTCACCTCATACAATAGGGCTGTCTTGACATTTGTATTGAAAATTCTGACTTCGATGTCGGTTGGCAGTTTTGAGTTTCTCCTAGATCCTCTCTGAGGCTACTACCGATCCCAAGCGCGGATAAAAAAGAAGAGTTGGACATCCTGTAGCAAACTAACTCTCTACAAAACGCTAACCAGAAAAAATAATTCAAACATAAATGTGAAAGCTTTTAAAACATTTTTACGAAAATAAGATAAATCAGAGTTGTTATTACCATTATTTAATTATTATTATTAGTGTTTGAGTAAGGAAGAGGAATGCGTACATCGAAATCATCCTTTCATCTAATTAATCCTCGAAAATTATGTAAACTCTTCAAATCTTCCATAATTATTGTGTAATCCTTTAGTCTCGGATTTCTGAACAACTTTGATTTCATGGCTCTAAATCTTCTATATTCATTTTTAGGCGATATGAAACTGATGTAAACTTTTCACAACTTCTATAATTTGTCACATGATCCATCCTAATCTGTTTCTGAACTTTATTTAATCAATGTCCCATTCTCCTCCTTATATTTTCGTAATTCTATGAGCTCACACTTGTTCTTGTGCAGATATATCTAAATAGCTATTGTTGATAATATTTGATATTTTAATTCCTTTCGTCATCATCATCAATTATTTCACACTATATCATACCTCAATGTTACATTTTATTACACATCAATGGTTGCAAACAGCTGATGAGAAACCACAAAATCAAATGAATTCGTGTTATTCTCTATGATATGGTAAGTAGCATTATGAAAAGATTAGATGAGGGGTTAGCGTGTAGTACGTCGTGTATCAGTGTCAGGGAGTCGTGAAGGACCAACACAAGCCAGCCCTTTGCAGCTTTCTTTAATACCACGATACCATGTCATATACTGACCACCTCTCCGCTTTTTCAAACCAGTCCCAGAGTCGGCAAATAATGAACGACGCGGAATTCTCTGGGACGACATTCGTAGAACATGTCCAAGCCACCGAAGTCGGTATTTCAAGATGGTGACACCAATCGGATTTTCGTCTCTGTGACCGAACACACGATGCCGAACATCTGGTGTTCATACTGGATGTCAGCAATTCTTCGGAGACAGGTTTGTCAGAGTCGTTTAACATTCTCAACTCGGAGAGGCCAGGTTTTTTACAAGCATAGAGCAGAACTACTCTCACCAATGCGCTGTAGATCCGACCTTTTACAGCCAGACTAACATCACGAAGGCGCCACAAATGGCCCAGATTGGCATAAGCCGCTCTGGCTTTCACTATACGTACATTGATTTCATCACTCACGCCACTACCAGCACTTATGCAGCTACCTAGATACACGAACTTCTCGACTACTTCAATCTGCTCACCATCCAGAGTGAGTACAGGATTAGGATCCTGCCAGTCTTGTAGAGGTACTTTGCACTTCGAAGGTGCAAAGCACATACCATACCTACGGACACTGATTGCCAACTGATTAAGTGCGGATCGCATAGCTTCGGCATTCTCGCACAGTAAGACAATATCATCCACATACTCAAGGTCGAGAAGTCTTTCTTCAGGCAACAGATCCACACCACCATTACTTACATCCGTCAGAGCTGTTTTCAGAATGTCATCGATGGCAAAGTTGAAGACGAATGGTGAGATTGGGCAACCCTGCCTAACTCCACTGCTTGAATAGAGCAATGGAGAAAGGTGGTTGTATGCCCTCACTCTGCCTGAAGTGTTTGTGTATAGGGCTTTTAGGATGTTAACAACTTTCTCAGGCACACCCTTCTTCAATAGACAATCCCAGAGAACAGTTCTGTCCAACGAATCGAAGGCAACCCTGATGTCAAGAAACACTACGATTGTTGGCCTTTGATAAGTATGACGGTGTGCTAACATTTGGCGGAAGGTGAAGATATGATCAATACATCCTCGACCAGAGCCAGAGGTAGGTCACCTGGGCCCGGTGATTTGTAGCGCTTCAAGAGTTTGATTTTCTTGCGGACTTCCACCTCATATGATGGATCAGTCCTCACCGGTCATGGAGGGCAGGACAGTCTGACCAACGTTGCTGGAGCAGCAGGCCAGTTGAACTGCCCTTCGAAAAATTCTGCCCATCGTCCAAGACGTCAATGGATGTTAGTTATTGACGTTCCGTCATCCTCGCAAATTGTTTCGCTCACACCAGACTTCTTGCTGCCAGTGGCTCGGATGAGTTGGAAGAGCTTCCGGTAATTACCAGATGCAGCTGCTGCTTCCAGGCTTCTCGGTCCTTACGCAAGCTTTGCCCAATTTCAGTACGTAACACCCTTCGTTTGTGGTCATACTCACGGTCACCGAGAGTAGACCAACAGGCTTCGATGAGTTGTAAGTAGCCTGAAAAAACCCAGTGCTTATAAACGGGACGTTTCGCAAGGCCACAAGAGGCCTTACTCGCCATTCTGGTGGCGTCATGAAGTTCCAACCAATGCTCATCTGTATTTATCAGTGAAATGGTAGCTAGCCTAGAAGCTAGCTCGGTTCGGTACTTACTAGCAACAGAAGTTGCAACCAGCTTGCTAACATCAATCCTTTGATAGCGGTCACTTCGTTGTCCACTGAAAAGTAAGATGAGATTGGCGCAGACCAGAACATGGTCAGATTCCAGATAGGCAATCCGAAAGGAGCGGCAGTCTTGTACACAACCACGCCAGCGGTAGCTGACCGCGATGTGATCAGTCTGAGTCCAGGCTTGAGATGCAGAAGGAGGACGCCAGGTGGCACATCGGCGATGACTGTGCTGAAAGTTAGTGCTAGCCAGAAACAGGTTGTGGTCTGTGCACGGTTGCAGTAGACGGTCTTTGTTATCTGTCCTGAGACCAACAAGTCCCCATCGACCACCTAAACGATTCGCTTTTGTGCCTAAAGGCCAGACCTGAGCATTCAAGTCTCCGGCTAGTACTACAATATCTGTCGAACGCACTTTCTGGAGGAGAACTGATAACTGGTGGTAGAATTCATTCTTGATTGCATCCGGGCTGCAATCTGTCGGGGCATAGGTGGAGATGACGAAAAGACATCGTTTTTCACGCCGATTTCTTTTCACTTTGATGGAACTTTCTAATCTAACAGCACAAAACCGACTGTTAATGAGGATGCAATCGATTAGTGCTGCCTCAGCTCTTGCGCCTAGTGCGACACCAACGCCAGCAAGACCAGACGAAGATGCCACAGGGTCCCCGGATAAACGCACGTAGAACAAGCTTTTTGAAATGACAGATGGAGAGCGAATTTGTAGTACTTCATCAGAGTCTTGAATACGGGTCTCGGATAGACAACAAACGTCAATGTTAAGACTTTCCAAAGACATAGCCAGTCCTATCTGTTGTCCGGTCTGCATAAGTGTGCAAACGTTGAAGGCAGCCAGTTTGACTGGTGTGCGTGGCTTCAGAAAAACTGTTTCAGTATTCGTATTTGGTGGTAGCATACAATTTTTAACCAGGCAGTGACTCGAGAATGTTTAGATAGAACCGAGTTTCCACCATAGGTGAGCTGCTGTATAAGTCGAAAAATAAGGATACATAATGTGGGAATAAAAGAGAGTGAATATATGACGTATTAAATAATAATAATAATGATAATAATAATAATAATTATACTGCGAACTGTTTGACTGTTGTCATGATGACTCTTCGAGGGTGAAAATTCTACTTCGTGAGCTTGAATCATCTGAATATGAAAAGTATTCGAACGTTATCTTGCCAGAGAAACCCAACAAGTTTTATTTTGATTCTATTGTACGAAAACTAATGAAATTTTACTAATCAGGCCTCCTTATTTAATTTGCTATACAACTGTCTTAAAACTGTTAAAAGACTTGAAGATGACTTTTTCCATCTGCAGCATTTGTTAATGAGCATTGAGAGAGTTTTAAACTGCGTTCACTATCTGAAGAACAATTTAAGTGTATTATC